CCCTCTGTTACTTCCGTTTTATATGAATTCCGTGTTGTACGAGTCACTTAGATTTTACAAATACGCGAGCCGTTCACAGTCCGGCACACGAATTTGTAAAATCTAAGTGACTCGTACAACATGGAATTCATATAAAACGAAATAATCAACAGTGTTATAGGGGGATCGACGTATTTTAATGTCTAATAATAATACTGTTTGAGTTCTTACAATCCTACTTTTATTCTATTTTTCAACCTCTAATTAATTATGATAGTTAAAAATCTCCATTTTTGTAACTCATCCCGAAATCTAATTCCCTCTCTTTTACTCCAGAATTGAATCTTCTACTAACTTTTAATCCTTCTCTTTTTCTCTAATCTGTTCCTAGCCTTTTCTGGCTCGAGTATAATTACTTTTTATCTCATTAACAAATACGATATCAATTGTGATAACATATACCATAGCTACTTTCTCAATCCATCTTACAATAATTCATATAATATTAAACAATAAAAAAAATTCTCAGGAGATACTGTATGTATACAGTATATTTCAAGAAATACAGGGTGGAGAATAATAGATTCCTACATTTACGAGGCGAATTTTAAAGAAATGGAACAATAATATGGAAAAAACTTTTTATTCATTCAAAGTGCATTTAATAAAGATGTTTTTTGGTTAGGTTTTAAAAATGATGTCATCCAATGGGATGTGGTTCCGTATCGATGCCCAGTAATCGGTCCCGTTAGATGGCATGAACGATAAGTTTTCGATGCTGTGAACGAGAGAACAACGGAGCTTCGTCGTGGAGGCTTTTTTCAAAAACGCCGAGTTTGTGACTGCGACGCAGAGGGCATTTTCGATTTTGAAATGGGTCCAAAATTTAATGGCAACAGGATCTGCCAAATCCTAAATTTCCAGTTTGGTTGGGCGTCTCAAATCTGTGAGGACACCTAAAAATATCGTTGCACTCAGAGCGTCAATACGGCGTTCTCCAACGCGTTCTGCTTGGAAACATGCCTCTGCACTCTCAGATATCGGCTCGAACGATAAAGCGAATTTTGCACTGTGACCTATAGTTACACCCTTACAAGATTTTGTTTGCTCAAGAATTGATTCCAGTAGATTGTGGAAGACGTAGAGTTCTCTACGTTTTCCACAATCCTTCTAGCGATATTGTGTGGAGTCGAGACGAAGCATTTTCATCTGTCTGGCACAGTGAATAAGCAGCATTTTCTTTATTGGGCTGCTGGAAACCCCCGACAACTCCACAACGACCTCTTCACAGCCCGACACTTGTTTCGTGTTGTTTAGATTATAAGTGAACTTGGAGATTTTAAACTGATTTGTTTGGGTTCTGATTATATTGCCGCCTCCATATACTTTAATTAGTCCTTCTATTAGTCTTTTTATGTCCTAAGTTTGAAGCTGTTTCTTTGATTGTATTAATTTCATTGATCCTTCCGGCACGTTAGAGCAATATGAATTTGCTCTTTTAATGAGTGCACGAAAAGCGGACAGTTTGTATCCGTAGGGGTCGTTCGAGTTAGCCGGAATGTATAGTGGACTATGTGTTGGTTTTATGTAGATACCTGTTGTTATACCATCTACTTTCAATTTGATGTCTATATCTAAAAAATGTATTTGTTATTTTAAATCAATTAATATTTTCCTTAATAAACATTATTTTTATAAATTGGAAGTTAAAAATATCATAAATGTAAATTTAAAAATGAGAAAGGATACATTAAATTGGAATTTGAAGCTTGTCTAAGAGATTCATTTAAATTACTAATATGATCAGTAAATTTTTTCATCAGCTGCCTTATTTTTCCTGTTAACTGCAATAAAACAAAAGCATGATTAAAATAATTACATTACTTAAGCTACAAAATATGATTTAATAAGAAATAAATTAACCAATATTGTCTAAAAACTGTTTTAAGAAATAATAATAAAAGTAAGAAAACAGATAATGTACTAAGGAATACTTAATGAATCATCAAACACCTGATGCTGAGAAATGTTTATTAAACAAACATTAACATTTTTTACCCATATGATAGGCTATCTTTAGATGCAATAGAAATTCAAATGTATTTTAACTTAACATTTAAACAACAGAACGTTCAAATACTTTTACATTTACATTTAAAACAAAATACTAGATAAATTAACAAATAAATAAAATAAAACAAAGTATACTAAATGAACTAATACAATAACAACATAAATAANAACGTTTTCGACCTAATATGATAGGCCATCTTCAGATGCAAGTATTCTCGAACGTATTTAACTTAATATTTAAATGTCAGAACGTTCGAATACTTTTACGTTTAAATCAAAATACTGGATAAATGACAAATAAAATAAAAGAAATATACTAAACAAACTAATACAATAACGATGTAAATAATATACTAAAATAAAAAATAACATATGTAAAATAAAAATAAAATAAATACACAAAAAAATGCCTCTAAGTATAAGGGCAGGTGTGGGCTAAGAATTTTTGTGTTTTAGTTTTTCTTTTATGTAGAATTTCCATGCAGAACTAGTCCATCCACATCCCTGGTGTTAATACAACCGTCCTTTAATTTACTTTTACATACTTTGATTTTTTCTTTGTGCATTGCTGGTGATGGGGAATGCATAGCCCTGAGGATAGTTGTTTCATTCGATTTAACCACAGAGTCCTCTGCTTGTGTTATACAGGATAATCCAGTGTTGCAGTGCCCTTTATTAATGTCATATTTGTGCTCCTTAAGTCTGATAGCTAAATTCCTTCTTTTGACCTCAATATAGTCCTCCTTAATTCCCAATTTTCAAATGGAATTTTATATATGCCCACTTTTTCTTCTTTTTTAATCACATCTTTATCATTTCTTAAAATACTGTATAAATTAGGCACTCTTTTGAAAACTATTTTTGAATGTTTTTTGTCTGACACTTGTTTCATGATGTTCTTGATGTTTCGATTATAAGTGAACTTGGAGATTTTAAACCAATTTGTTTGGGTTCTTATTATATTGCCTCCTTCATATCTTTTAATTAGTCCTTCTATTGTACTCTTTTTATATCCTAAGTTTGAAGCTGTTTCTTTGATCCTGTCCAGCACATTAGAGCTGAACAGGATATGAATATGCTCTCCTACGCAAAACCATTTGCTATATAATTCAAAGTGTTACCAATCTTTAGATTGCACTAATAAGTAAGTACAATTTTATCATATGTTTGGCAAATTCATTTCCCTAATTGTAATAATATTTTAAACTGTTTGATTTTTGTATTAAAGTTTTTTTAATTGATTGATGATTGATTCAATCAACTAATTTGTTGATTGTTTGATTGTATTAACTTGATTCTTTAGATATTGAAAATTAAATAAATAACATTATGTTAATTTAAGCGTACAGAAACGTTGCTGTTGTTCCAGCAAAGATCTTATTTTAACTTTATCGAGTGCCTAGTAGGTAATTCGCAGATTACCTAGATAATCTGCAGATTACCTAGGTAATTTGAGAAATGGAATAATTTTAGCAGCTTTAACGGATCACCCTAGTTAATCTGCAGATTAGCTAGGTAATGTACACATTAACGGATTTCGAGCTTTAGCGGTAACATACATATTGTCTACATATTTTTGGAAGATCCCTAAAATACATCAAAACTTAATATAAAGAAATTGCTTTTTGCTTTTTGCCTTGGCATAATTAAATTAATTAAAAATCTACTAATGTGAGGTGATAATAAGAACTTATCACACCAGTGATAATAAGCACAAACACCCAAGTATCAATGGAGTATATTTAATAAAAACGAGAAGGGATGTACATTAAAATTGATTACATTAGCAATTAACATGAAATAACTTCGATAACGAAGTGCATTTTGGTTATTTCATATTAATTGCTAATGTAATCGATTTTAATGTGCACCCCTTCTCGTTTCTGTTCAATGTACTTGTTGCCGAGGATATAAATAACTGACTCCAAAGAATAGTTCGGCGTTGATAAAATTTAATAACACAAATTTCAGAATTCCAAATAGACAATTATCAATACTTAAGAACTAGGTTGTACAAATCTAAGTAAGAACGATCGTCACGACACAACACGTGGCTCCCACATACAGCATACAAAAGAACCTTATTCTAGCTTAAAATTAACTTAACTAATTATTACAATACTAGGGCCCAAAGTTTTAGGGAAAGATATAAAAATAAAAGAATTATAAAGAATGGACGGTACAAGGGGTGACTGGTCATAAAAGAAAAAAAAACCTTGGATCCTTCACTTAACAACTTTCTTCTTTCCTGGCTCATCCTCACGTGTCCTCCGTCCTCCTCGGTCTCCTTCACTCTAAATCGTTTCCTTCCTGTTCCGATCTCCCTCAGGTCCACTTAGTCAGTCACCCCCCGACCAATCAGGTGTCAGCCCCTTTGTTTAACACAGATCGGACCACATGGGTTAACCAACCACATCGTAGTTAAGGAAACAAAGGCCAGAAGTGCAGCTTTTTCTGTAAGAACATGGTCACAGGGAATTAAGGGAAAGGAAAAACATAAGAAAGATGGCTTAATAAAGCCACATACTCCATTAATACCTGGGTGTTTGTGCTTATTATCACTGGTGTGATAAGTCTTTATTATTTACCACACATTAGTAGATTTTTAATAAATTTAATATCAAAATTTGCTAAATTCCTTTTCTGGTATTGTCCCAATTAAGCGATTAAATTATGGATTAATTTATTAGTTTGGTTTCCATTCTTTGAGATTTGGCCCAATAAAGCGGCTGCCCCGATTAACCGGTGGCCCAATTAAACGGAATCGATTGTATTCTATTACTCAAATACTTATAACTCAAAGTAATAAATACTCTTTTTCAAAAGTATTTCTTCCTCGTAACACTTAAAGTCAACATAATTAAGAGAAAATAACAATTAAATGTCAATTACTGTTTACTATAGTCCATATTTATGATTAACAGTTATCTATCAAGATTTATCATAGAAGCAATACCTACAAGAGCTAGGAAGTATTTTAATTTTCAACTAAATAAAGATGTGTTGAAATAGAAACACATTTTGTGTTAGTGAATCAAATTAACAGTTATGTTTATCTATATATACAAATGAGGATGTTTATTTGTTTGTTTGCTACACACTCCTAGGCTGTTCAACCAATTGCTATGAAATTCAGCAGTTAGGTTTGCATACTTCTAACTCAGATAATGTCACACATTCCACCCCAAAATATCTATTGAATTTCTGTAAATTAATTAATTTCTATCTACAATTGATTTGCTGATTCACACATAGTGTCATCTATTGGCCAAAAATTTAGCAAAATAATAAACTAAATATAATTCATACAAAAAAAGGATATCATTTTTAAAAATATATATTACATTCACTTAATTACTGTGACAATGATATAGTGCAAAATAGACATGCTATATTATTACTGCAACAGGTAGCATATAGCACTTGCCACTTGGATTTTTTCATGTCTAAACAATACTTTTTTCACCCTTAAAAGCTAGCATCAGGTTAATAACCCACTAACCTTGTATAGCTTTGCAGATAATATTTAGAACATAACACTAACATTTCCGACTCATTTCTAAGGTCTTCTTCAGGTGTTCTATAAATTTTTCTGGTGGGATATGAGTTTGATTCAGATTTTTAAATGTTCCAGTCTCCAATGCTTCTATCTTCAAAATTTTAAAAAAACATTAGTGTTACATTCTAAATATTATCTGCAAAGCTATACAAGGTTAGTGGGATGTATTTGTATTTATTATCACTTTGTTCATTGGATGGATTTGACCCAAGGCAATTTTCAAATTTATATTATATAGACATCTCTGTCTGAGGAAACAGACTTTTTGTAATCTTCCATCAAATGAGTTATTATTCAGTGTTATCATCATCATCTCAGTACTAGAAACATAAATGTGTTCATACTTGTTTTGACCCAAGGCAAGTCCTTACATTACTTTTTGCATGTCATTATGATAATGACATATGACTCAATAAATATATGATACATGACTCAAAAAAATTTTATTGTATGAATTAAGTACGAGATTTAGTTAAATTCGATAAATAAGTTACATTTTATGTATGTTTATCACTTCCATTTTATTTTTTCCCAAATGTGATCTAACATTTTCTTACATTACAATTTTCAAAATTTTAAAATTCATCTTTACTTTTACTCAATTTCAGAAATTTGTACTGTAATTAAGAAAATTAAGTATCTTCTTTGAAATAAAATAATTTTTGATTTTATATCTCATTAATAAACCAATTTTCAACAAATGCAATTTTCAGGTTATATATGATTCGACGCTGGTTTATAATTTCTAATGATTATAAAAGATATAAAGCATCAATAGGTTCTTAAGTTGAATATTTTTAATATTCAACTTAAGAACCTATTGATTTAAGGAATTACAAGAGGCAATTTTTTAACTTCTTTTGCTCTAGGCAATGTGAGTATACAAAACATGTTTTACATAATCATTATAAAATTCAAACAAGGCCTACATAACAAATTGCAAGAGACAGAACCTGAAATTTCTGCATCAATATCTGAAAAATTCTGGAGGATCCAAATTGCACTTGAAGAGAAGAATGTACACAGAATGTAATCAATTTAACCTCTTCATTAACCTGTCCTACATTGTTCCCGAAAATATTCGTGTTGACCTCATTGACCTGCGTGGGCAATCCTGAATATTTTCATGTTTACATCGGAATGTTTTTTAAACATCAGATGTCCCTACTTGTATGGTGTTTTGAAATAAGTGACTCATATCAGAAGAACCATTATGTTATCTAGTTTTTGCTCAGCAGGTTATCAAAATTCTAGGAATAGTTCTTTGTTAGAAATCACAAAAAAATTAGACCATTTCGTTTCTGTTTTTCGACATGGCAGGAAGTAGTAGACACAGCTCTCTAAATAAGTCAGAAGTTATTGAATATTTATTCAATTTGGGTTCTGATGAATCTGAATTTTCAGACAGCAACAATGATTACATACCAGATCAAAATGTAAGTGATGACAATGGTTTTGATCCTGCATTACCATCTATGAGTGGATATAGAGGCAGATCACGCAACAGTACTCGAAGTAATACTGCTAAACATCCGCAATTTAGTAGTGACGACAGATGGATTTGTATAAATTTAAGATGTTCTCAAGTGAACAGTTTTACTGGACCATCAGGAATACGATGTAATCTACAGAGTGATGCTTCACCATTCGAGTGTTTCAGTATATTCTTCAATGACGAACTTGTCGACAAGATTGTTTCAAAAACAAACAGGTATGCTGATAGTTTGCTAAACTGTGACGATTTACGAGAGAGTAGTCAGATAAAAAACTGGAAACCAAGAACAAATCCAGAAATTAGAGAATTTCTAGGACTTATAATGGTCACAAGTATAATTAGAAAACTGCACCTAAGTATGTATTTTACAATTGAAGATCTTTTTTCGACACCATTTTTTTTCAAGTGCGATGTCGAGCAACCGCTTTCAACTTTTATTGTCCTGTCTGCATTTTACAGACAATAATCAAGCTTCAGGTGGTGATGATCAACTGCATAAATTACACAGTGTTATCAGTCATTTACGCCAAAGTTCAAAAATGCATACCTCCCAGAGGAAAATATCTGTGTAGACGAAAGTCTTATGCTATGGAAAGGGAAATTAGGATTTAGGCAATACATACCGAACAAGCATGCTCATTTTGGAGTGAAAAGCTTCGAAATTTGTGAGTCACAAACAGGATATGTTTGGGACTTTATAGTTTATACCAGAGCTACTACTGAATACGGAAATTTTGAAGGAGGGCAAGGAGAGAAGGTTGTGCTAACCTTATTAGAACCATTGTTCAGTAAATATCACAAGGTTTTTTTAGGTAGGTTTTTCATCTCACCGACATTAGTGAAAATGCTTCTAGACAAACAAACCCATGTACGTGGAACTGTAAGTAAAAATCAGATAGGAATGCCACGTAATTTTCCTGGCAGTAAATTGAAAGAAGGGGAATTTATCACCTGTCAAAAAGATGAATTGTCTGTGTTCTGTTGGAAAGACAAAAGGGATGTGTCAATTCTAAGTACGATGAGTGACAACAAATTCTCTGATTCGGGTAAACATGACAGATCTGGAGAAGTAATAATGAAGCCAAATTGTATTTTGGATTATAATCGCAATATGGGTGGTATCGATCTCTGTGACAGAGTAATACACAATTATCCGTGCATGAAAAAAACAGTAAAATGGTGCAAGAAAGTGTTTTTTCATATGATGGATATTACATTATATAATGCTTGTATTTTATGTCAAAAACACAAAAAAACAAATATTTCTAGATTTTCGTATGTCTGTTATCAGAGAAGTGATAGAGAAGTATCACACAAGCAGACATCTAGCCCGCTGCGGTCAACCATCACATGAAAATCCGTTACGTTTATCCGAACGGCATTTTCTTAGTTTTATACCACCTACAGAAAAAATAAAAGCATTCATCAAGTGTGTGTAAAGTATGTTCGGCTAACAAAAAACGTGCAGAATCACGTTATCGATGTGTACAATGTAATGTTCCACTATGTGTTGTACCTTGTTTTGAGATATATCACACTAAAATTAACTTTTAAAATAAAATTTTTTGTTTTTTACATTCTCTAATATGTCTATTTTGTGTGTAAGAAATATAAAGTAATTTGGAATTGTGAGGGACGAACAGCCCCACAATAAAGTGTTATTTTAAATTTTAATTATTGGGAAATTCAATCATCTAAATTCGAGCGTTTTATCAAGTTAGGCTAAAAGCCATAAAAATTATTTCCCACGGAGTTGGTTCCTTGTTGATCCAGCTAGTCAGTGATGTGTCACCTAGAACTTTTGATAGAGTGCCCATATTGGACACCAGACCATTAACAACAACCTCCTGACCTCCTGGGAAAAACCCAAGAGGAATAACAAGAGAAAACAGAAAAAACACCAGAGGTCAGTCGTCTTCCAAAGTCTGTCCACCAAAGTCATCCTCCAGGATTTATACCAAGACCAAGACTCCAGGTTTAATACCGTGCCTCTTTAAGGATATCATCCCCACTTCAGTGCCTTCACACCTCCAGGCTCCTGTTAACAGACAAGACCCAGAACTATTTGAAGCGAACATTCCATCGGCAGTGTCATCTGACCACTGATCTTCGACCCAAAAGAAAGGTATTTATCAACCCGCAATTCGTTTGTAAACTCTCTCTCTCGAACGGCCTAGTATAATTAGGGGCTATGCCAGAAATCGAATATATCTGTATTTTCTTTTGTTATAATTAAAATTGTTATTTATTTGTTAGTATGGAGTCCGAGTGAGTCACTTCCTCGTCTCTCTCCTCACCTCTACTCCGAATCCTACCACTCGTGTGACGTAAAATCGCGATTTCCGAGTCCTGCGAGACTCGGTAGTGTCACATCCTGACGTGGTGTCAAAGAGACACCGACCCTAGGTCAAACAATAATACGATAGCCACAATTATTATTTTTATAAAACATGTGATTGTGTTAAACTTAACATTGAAAAAAATTCAACATGGAGCGTGACGGAGAAAATATTCAACATCAAATAGGTTAAACAAACAAAATTTTACCTGAACATGTTTTGAACTATTTCTTTTTTGTTGGTTGCACAAAACAATCTTCTCAATAATATCTCTTGCTTCTGCTTCACAAATGCTATAATCTGATATCCTAAAAATAAAATTTTAATACTGTATTAATTTATTGATGTAATTTAAAAATATCAAAAAACTTACTAACACACCTTATCTTGCAGCCGAAGTTTATAAGAAAAATTTCTAACGTTTTCGGTCTTGTTAAAAGACCTTTCTCAAGAAAATTACAGCAAATAAAATAACAAAGTTTGTTATTTTATTTGCTGTAATTTTCTTGAGAAAGGTCTTTTAACAAGACCGAAAACGTTAGAAATTTTTCTTATAAACTTCGGCTGCAAGATAAGGTGTGTTAGTAAGTTTTTTGATATTATAATATGCAGTCTCAAACGATTTGTAATTTAAAAAATCATTCATATTATAAATAATACTTTCATCTTACAAGCAAACATTCTCACAGAGCAGATAAAAATGTTATTTATTCTCAGCCATAATGTTGAGAATGGCAAAGTGTATGCTTATATAAATTTTTGCTACTCCAGAGCTATTACTTTCTGAATTGGACAGAAAAAATATTGAAAAGCTGAAAATTCATAGTGTTTGGAATAAGAAGAAAAAAAATCAGATTTTAACCAAAACCAATTGCAAATTTTTATTGAGTGTACCAGAGATTACAATTGTGTTTATTTTGAAACATACACACTGCAGTAATGGAAAATCACAAAAAGTGCATAAAACATAAGTTTCCACCCAAAATTTATCAAGCAATAATCTGGTGTGTTCTGAAACTGTTCAACATTTCTTGTAACTAATCTAGTCAACATTCATCTTGAGTGTACTGGTGTAAGAATGATATTGCAGAGTGGAACTATTGGAATGTTGGCGACTAGTTTCATGTTGTTGTCATGTTGCTGCAGAGTATCAACTGACTAAATGAAATCAACATTATGTAACAGCACACATATTGTACATACAGAAAAAATTGAGAGGCCTCAGTATACAATTGTATTCATGAATATTATGTTTATCATCAGTTTGTCAGTCATGATAACTATCTATCAGATTTGTCGACAATACAGTATTGTTATGGACACCAGAGGAGTCTAGAAGGTTTTGTGTACTGGAAAATAAGGAAGAACCATTTCTTTCACTAAAGAAGACAATAAAAGTTTTATCATATTACCAGATATAGTCCATTTGACAATTAAATTTTCAGGTTTAAATGTCTTTTCCACAGTTTTATGACTTTTATCACTCAGTTCATACAGAATCACAAATAACATTCACATCAGTTTTTCTGATTTTGACACTATAGGAATGATGGTATTGGAATGTGCAGTCAAATGCAGTGCAGTTAATATCCAATGTTCATTACCATTAGTATTTCTTTATTCATTGGCACCACATTCACCTACATTATATATGTAATCATCATGAAAAGCATTCAGAAGTAATTTGCAATCATTTCTTAAATCCTCCATTTCATAATGGATTTTATTTTGCAATTGCCAATTTGCCAAATATTGTAAAGTTATAGCTAACTAATTTATTATTATGAAATTTAAATGTAGCTTGCACTTTATATGAAAGTCTTATAGGATATGTTCAGGAATTAAGAAATAATTTTGATTCTATTGAAGAACAAGCTAAAGAATTATGTGGCAATTTTACAGATGAATTTATTCGACTGATTTTCAGAGAAGCCGTAAACAAAAGCACCAATTTGATGATAATTGTGACAATTACATCCAATTTTCTGCCAAGGATAATTTCAAAATAAATACTTTTTATGTAATATGTGATTCTTTAGTCAACGAGTTGATTAGAAGAAAAACAGCATATGTATCTATTAACAACATTTTAAATTTTTTATTTACTGAAACAGATGCATATAGTGCAGATTCTTTTGAGATAATAAATAACATGTATAAAACAGATATTTACATTCGTGAGATTCATGACGAGTGGCTTCAGTTTAATTCTATTTTAAAAGATAACCTTATAGAAAAGAATCCCCAAGAAATATTATATTTTATTATAAATAATAATATAATATCAACCTCTTCCAATATGCAAATTCTTCTAAGAATATATCTTACAATGCCAATAATTAATGCTAGTGGTGAAAGATCTTTCGCTACATTGAAAAGAGTTAAAAATTATTTGAGAAATTTAATAAAAGAAGATAAATTATCTGCACTATCGATACTAAATATTGAATCTGAGTTAGCACAAAAATTAGATTACAATTCTTTGATATTTTGACAGAATAGAAAATCAGAAAGAATTGTAAGATTCATTTTTCTAATTTTTTATGCACGAATCGTTATTTTTTTGTATTAATATATTGATTATTTTGTTTGTAATTGTTTTGAAATAAAAATTACTTTAATCTAGATATATATAAAATTACATGTGTGAAGGGCTAGCCGGGGATACGGAGTAGGTAAGACTCTAGTATCACTTACTCTGCAACTATTCCTTGAGAATAGCCCTCAGTTGTCCAAAAGGATGGCTTTTCTAGTCAAAGAAATCGAGTGCAGAGGGACTTACAGTTTGAATGTTAAACAAAGCGGAATTAGATGATCGCGTAATCACCCTTTTCCTTATCATGATTCCCGATACCAGTTAATCAATTATTTTACACGCGGATTAACACGCGTTATCCTTAATTTGTGAGTAGGAGGAGCGAAGGAAATTTAAATACGAATGAGTATGAATAGCCAACATTAACCAAAGCATTTTTTATATAATAAACCAAAACATTTAATAAATCAAAAATATCAAAAGTATACAAAAGAATGAATCTAAACTTCTAACTTAACCTAATCTTATTCTAAACCTGACGCGTGAGAGAGAGTTTACATCGATCTAATGGTGCTCATATTACCTTCTCCAGGTCTTTTAAATATTTCACTGTATGCGGATCTTCTTCTTCTTTCAATAATTTCTATGAAAAGTTCTTTAAAATAACTTTTCTTCCAACAATCTTGTCTTATCCTTCATATGTAGTGCTACATATTTCTGACTTTCATTTAATGGATTCGTATAACGGACTTGTATGACAGACACTTTGTATGACGATATCTTTCCGTATGTCAGTCTCTCTTTGTGTGGCAACCTCTTTTCGACGGACTGCCTCAAATGGCGGGAAAATGTCCCTTTTATTTGCTCTCCAGTAGAGTGTGCAAAACTCGACTCGTCACGAGTCGGCCGAGAAAGGAAATCAACTTCCTTTCAAAATCGAAAGTTTCTCTTGACATCCGTTTTTTGTAAAATTCGGTGAAGTTTAAAATATTATTTTCTATTAATTTATAAATCTTTTTCTCTAATTTGTTAATTTGTTCAAAATGACTTTCCTTCAAATTTCCAGATTCTCACACATGTCCTGACTGGCTGGCTGGCTGGCTGATTGATTCATCATTGCCCAGAGCAAATTGCTGAACCTAAAGAGGTGAAATTTGGTACACAGTTAGGGTACGTCATGAATATGCACACTAAGAAGGGATTTATCAAAATTCCCCCCAAGGGGAAGGCGAGGATTAATGCTTAACACGAAGAACGGCTTCTACTGTAATATTTTAGATGCAATTTTTTGCTTGTAACTGCGTTTTAGTAGGACACATAATGAGAATGCACACTAAAAAGGGATTTTTGGAAATCCACTGTGGGGGAAGGGGGGATTAAGACTTAAAATGCCTTAGCCCCAAAAAGCAGTACCACAAATGTGGTTTACAAAGAGGTACTGGGGTAACTGAAACTCTATTTTTCTGTAAATATTTATACTTTAGGAATTAAAATAACCTCCTAACAAACTTTTATCCGGTGGGAAATATGAATAATTGTCCACGCAAACGTTTTCGGATCCCTCCTGGGTCCTTTTTCAAGCTACAATTCGTCCGTAAAGATTCTTTAGAAATTTTTAGATAATTTCATTTATATTTTGAAAAAAAAATTAAACTCAGATTTATCGTACCTCGAAATTCCATGATATTTGAAACTCGAATTTAGGTGCATTAGCAGTCCATAGTTTGAAATAAACAATAATCAGTTATTTTACCAAATAATTAAATAACTCCCTCGGTACTTCGCTAAGATTCTCAATCGAATCTTAGCGAAGTACCGAGGGAGTTATTTCTATCAAATTGCAAAATCTGCACGGGCGAAGCCGCGGATAACAGCTAGTTTTAAATATTACAATTTTATTTATATTCGTAATAATACAAATAATATTTACAGGCCTGTAAATATTATTTTGCCTAGGGCCCACAAAGGTCTAAATTAGGCCCTGCCGGTCGTTTAACACGCAACAGACTTAACAGAATACACGATTCCGATCACACCCCAGTAGTAGTCGGTGCAGTGGCATTTCTTACGTTTTACGAGCTTTTATCATCTCTAGTAAAGTGGGAAAAAGTTGATTTTTACCATTGTTTTGAGAAATAGTACTAGATTTTTTTCACTTTTAAATTTTACTCCATTTTCGAGGATCTTCAAAATTCCAGAGGTCGATTTAAGGGCCTACGTCTCGCAAAGGGTCACACGTAGACTATCGATTCCTTTGACTTTATTTACCCCTACAAGCATAGTCTACAACTCTGGGAAGGTGGCATCTGCCTCATTGAGAGTTGAATCTGTACAAATTTGTTCCTGCAAATTCTGGTCAGCATTTATTGTATTGAATATTTTGTTTTATAAATGAGTATGTATGTAAGCTTGTGGTATCAAATTCTGTAGACACTTCTCTGTAAGAATTTATTTTCTGATATTTTCAATTTTAAGTAACCTGGAATGATTTTTCTCGCTAGTGTGACACTTATTGATACGATTAATGATATAAAATCGAAATTTAGCATTTAACTTATTTAAGACACATCATCTGATGTTTTATAAAAACGCAGATACAGTATATGTATATAATTGGTTTTATATCCTAGAGAAAATGTTTTACGTCGTCATATCGCCTATTTCATTAAAAACTTACCAATTATCCCCAGTTTGAAACATTTTCTACCCGATCATATGACAACTGTCTAGTTCTCGTTTAGACCGTTTGAAGTCGCTGTAACGAAAATTATAAAAAATAAAATATTTAAAAAGATTGGTATGGAATAAAAATAAATATTAAAATTACTTTAAAATTTTAAAGAATTCGATACATTTTATATTAATTACGAATTTTAAGTTTTGACTCTTTGACCAGTAGACACGGTTTTTTTTCTAGACTCGCAATGGAAGAGACTTACCAGCGAGCTACAATATTCAACATAGAGTGTCCGTGATCTTAGATATAGCGCTCTTGGTAGCAACGCGGTTCCTATCGACCACCATTTTATTTTAAGTCAAAACATTAAAGTCTGTACGATGTGTTGGAATGGATTGTCATTTTAGAATATATATATATATATACTGTATATATTTTTTCATTTAAATTTAGGTTGTTTTATTTCAAATTTAGCTATTTTCTAGATTTTGTTTAATTATTATAAAGAAGGCAAGATCAGAGTTTAAACCGGTAAGTGTAGTACGTAACCCTCAATATACGCCGGAGGGCCGAGCGATCAAGGTGGCAGCCAACCGCTATGGGGACCCGGGTTCGAATCCGAACTGGATCGAAAATCACCAGGAATTTTTTGAGGGGTGATTCGTCCGAATATGTCGGGCCCCGTCCCTTACCATCCGGCTGCCTCGTTGTGGGTTTGGCCGAACCCGTAATGGGCTCGCGAAAAAGTCCCTCTTAGTGTCCACAGGGCGGAAAAAGGTTAATTGCTTGGCCACTCGGTCTGCTTTTTAAAAATATTTAAATAATAAATAAACATTCTAACTGTAATCATTAAATACACGTAATAAGTTAGAATAAATATTTCTGCATTTACATGCATATATAAATTCATTTTAATAACGTTTATATTATAAAATTTTATCAAAATTTATATTGGAACTCCAAAACCTCTACGAGAATAACACGAAAAATCCTTCCGAAAAATGCGTTTATATAATAATATTAAACTTGCAAATGAAAGGTAACAAGCATAATCTTCTTAGACAATGGATTCGCCATTTACAAACAACGCGAGACGACATCGTACGTAATCTCGTAAAGATTATTACAAAACAGGCAAAGTTTTGAATGCAAAAATTCCAGAATTCCACAATAAACAGAAATGCTATACCTATCACTATAGAGTGAGTGGCAGAGTGTCTCTTGTCCGAAGGCTAGTTCACAGGCCATCGTTGATCGAGTGCATAAAAGAGCTAAACAGTAAGACTGTCTGGTTCGCTCCCGACCCATAAGCTGGCTGTGTGGAGTTTTCCCAGTTTTCACTTGTCTAACAATTAAATATGGACCCGTTTCCTATAGAAAGTTCTCTCGGGAGGCATTCACTTCTCGTGGATGCCCTTGTCATGGATTGCATTATTTTCTTAATTAAATCTCGAGGCTAGAATCGTGAAAGTATATTTAGTAAAGATGACCCGCAAATTGTATTTTATAATGATTAATTTAGCTTGTTTTTATCATCATATCTGCAATGCTGACATTATCGCGTGCAAAACATAATACTTAAGTCGATTTGAGATTTTTTGCAGTCCAGAAAGTTGAAAATCAAATCATGAAGCGAAATTACAGGTTGATTTAGAAAATAATCAAATATTTTTCATAAATCTAGCAACACTATTCGCAAAATACACTCTTCAGAAGTAAAATCGCAACGCCACGAAGGAATGCCACACGCACATTGCAAGACCGGTGAAAGGGACAGCAAACAAAGATATGCAACTGAAATGAATATACACAGGCTGCTATACAGCTTGGCATACTATCAATCGGGCGATAATGAGCTATCTCTTGCCGAACTGCGTCCACTGCGGCACGCGTGTCACTTACGGTATGTCGCGGTGATCCCCGGTGCATCTCATTGTCTCGATGGAACACCATGTTGGGTGTGGCCCGCACCAGTGGCCGAACCACGATTAACGGCGCACATTTCCGGTACTATCACAATTTGTACGAGAGTACCGGAAATGTGTGCCGGGGCCGATTGAACACGATTCCGTCCCAAACCTTGATGCTCGGCAAAAAGAACTGGCACATAATGTTTCCCAGGATACCGCTGCACCCTTTTTAAACTCTTTCTGCCCTGTGGGCGCTAAGAAAGCCTCTATTTTAGCAAGCCCATTACGAGTTCGACCGGGCCCACAATAGAGAGGACGAATGATGATGGACGGAGACGATATATCCGATCGGACCACCCCCGAATACTTCTCGGGGATTTTCCGACCCGTCCGGATTCGATCAAGTGCCACTTTGACCGCTCGACCACCTGGCCGTCAAATAAAGGAGGTTCGTGTGTATCTCGAGTAAGGTCCGACTTAATGACGATTTTACTCGTTATTAGCATTTACATTTTTTTTATAAAACCCATCCCTACCCAGAAAATTAAGCTTTTAGCCATTTTATAATAATTAGAAGTATAAAAAGTTTTTAATGTTGAATTATCAGAACAGATAGAACCAGATTTGCAGTTTTGAATGTTACCGGAAAGTTAAACAACTCGTTGCCGGCCCACCAGTGACCAAGCGGTTCCGTTCCCCGAACACTTGTACAATACAGTCGTGGGTTCGAGCTTGGCCACGACGAGCTGGCAACGTGGAGTTTTCCGGTTTTTCTCTACGTCCGTAACGCCCGAAAAAGGCCAGTTACCCTTAAAAGACTTCCGGGAAGGCATTACAGTGGAACATCGAGCATCTCACATTACGAGCGAAACAAATTGTAAAAATTTAACTCGCTTAACGAGCGACGTTTGGCATAACGAGTGACGAGGAGAGGGGAAGGCCCAAATTGTGCGCACGTTCCACCAGTCTGCGTTTAGCTTTCGTTCCGCTAGCTTCTTAGAGTAGCTCGCGATCACGTATTTTTCCAAACTGGCGTTCACACATATTACGTATAAACATCGACAAACATAGCCCGTTATATAATAAACACGCCAAACGATACACCAAATTCTTAAAGGCTATAATTAAATATTACAAGTTAATTAATTTGACTAGAGGTAGGCAGTTACGCAGCCATCTCGTATTANTTGGCGCTACGGACGGCGGGAAAGTAGTTCAGCTGCCCGATGACGTTTGAGGTAATTATAGGGGGTTTTTTACTGTTTTTTACGGATACCGGTCACAATTTTTTCGTAGTTTTATAGGAATCGTAATTATAGGGACCGTAATTATAGGGGGGTCGACTGTAATATGATTTATCAAAACCTTTCCTTGAAATTCACAAAAATTTATGCTGTAAAAAGTTACACTTCTCTCTTGAAAGAAGAATCCCAAAGTAATTGTTTTGTTTAATTACTTTATTTCTTTATAGTATTGCTTTTTACAAATGGCATTTTTGGCTCTCTTTCCCTCATCAATTGTGAAGCAGTACCTTATAATAAATTTATACATTTACATATAGATAAATTTCCACTTATATGGAGAAGAAATTACAAACACAGTTAATTTACATGACAAATTTTCTTGTAAATTTTTATAAAATAAAATCATGCCATATTTTATAGCATGATTTTACTTATTAATATTTGGCAACCTAATAAACTTTTCATGATCTAATGCAACATTTTCAATCCCTTTTATAAAGGGATTAAAATGTGGCATTAGATCATGACTACTTTGCAGAAGCTGGCAAAATGACACTGACCGATGATTTGGCTCAAGTAACATGACCCTCTCTCTCTCTCTATCAACAATGTGCTGGTATGAGCTGGGTTATGTTTCCCATCTCAAGACCTAGTATATTTGTTTTGTATGTTTTATGTAATTAGTATATGTGGAGTAATAAATATCTGGGATCCAATGAGAGAATACACTACTATTCCCTTCTGTTTTTCTACAACTGCAATGATAACACATGCATGAGAACAGATTGATTGGCATACACAACTTATCCAAACTGAAACTTATCATCATAATGCCTCAACTCTTAAGAGATACAATATATATTAATGTTTTTATATAATACGTAGTATGATCCAAAAGTTCGGGGACTTTGCTTAAAATTCCTTACCTTAAAAAGTTTATATTGCCAATGCACAACCACCTTCAAAATAATCACCTTGGGCAACGATACACTTTTGCCAGCACTAATATAACTTCTGGAAGCACTGCTGGAAGCCATTTTTTGAAACCTCCCGTAAGGTCTCTTGCGATGCTGCTCTCACCTCATCTGATGACACAAAACGGCGTCCCTGCAAATGCTTTTTCATTGATGGAAACAAATAAAAATCACATGGAGCTAAGTCCAGTGAATAGGCGGGGTGTGGAAGCACATTAATTTGAGATTTGGCGAGAAACTGTGTGACCATTGGGACCGATTTGCAGGTCCGTTGTCATGCAGAAGGTACCAGTCTCCACTTCGCCAGATCTGCAGCCATTTAAAACAAATGAATTCCCTCAAACGACGTAAAATGTCTAGATAATTGAGAGACCAACTCAACATTTTCCTCGTTCCATGAAGTCGAAGGTCGGCCAGAGCATTCATCATCTGCGATAGATTCTCGGCCCTCTTTAAACCTTTGATTTCACCATGGTAGAATCACCGTACACTTTTCTTAGCAATTTTAAAGTCTTCATAGATGTTTTACCTAAACACTGACAAAATTTAATGATGCAGCGCTGTTCTTGAAACTCCATTTTTATTACATCGCAAAACAAAAGTAACTATCTCTGAAAAAAACAACAGCACTCGCGGTTTAATCATATGACATGGGCAAAATCAACCTGAACATGTAGGGGTGGTTTGATAGAATCCATTTCATACGCTGTAACTTTAAATACATGCTTTTGTTGTCANTGTTTATCATCAGTTTGTCAGTCATGATAACTATCTATCAGATTTGTCGACAATACAGTATTGTTATGGACACCAGAGGAGTCTAGAAGGTTTTGTGTACTGGAAAATAAGGAAGAACCATTTCTTTCACTAAAGAAGACAATAAAAGTTTTATCATATTACCAGATATAGTCCATTTGACAATTAAATTTTCAGGTTTAAATGTCTTT